AAGACACAAACCTTGTGTCATGTGCATTAAAGGGTACCCGGGGTGATAGGGTTAATGTAAGTTTTCACCCTGTTCTTGTTGCTGTTTAGAAATGACTGACCCAGTTTTCACTGTCTTTTGTCTCTATCCAAGTTTTCTGGATTCTTGGCCATGTTTGTATTCACAGGAATGAGCTTGCTGACAGTGCAGATAAGTCTGTTTGCACTCGTTATGTCACGCTCATGCCTGTCCCATATATATGGCTTTGTGCCAGTTGGCAGTTGACTTAGGGTTAACAATTTCATAACAAGCTTTTCCAGATCATTCCTACTGTTGTTTTTTGGCCATCTAGTTTCCATAAGTATCAATGGGAGGATCTTGTCTTGTGTAGGCTATGCATTGTCACAGTTTTTTTACTCATCATTTTCTCTTATCTGGGACAGATCCTCCAATGTGTGGCCTTTGTAACACTCAAATGACAACTGCCCACATTTTACTTTCACACTCCTGTTATGAATGTCAGCACCAGCTCCATTTTAGAGATGTATTTTCTGAGGGTTTATCTCTGATGTTGGACGGTGTCATTGGTGATGGTGACACTGTCCAATTTGGTTGTATTTATAGAATGGCCTTTTTAGATCTATTTGAGTCTTTTACCTGCTTTTTGGATATTGTTTAATTTTTAACTTGTTTTCTTTTTACATTTTATTGTATTTTACTTGCAGATTTTTTACTGATTGTTTGGTTCAGATAGCCTAATTGTTTTGCACCATAAAATGCCAAACAACCAACCTTCTACAAGTGCTGTTTTGTTAGAAAATAAAGCCAAGATAAAATATTCAAAATTATTAAAATGATTGTCATTTAATTGAGTTGTTATGATTTTTTTAACTAGAATGGATATTCAAAATTAAGTTTAAATGCCAGAAATGTAAAACTTAAAATTAGTATTTTTATGTTTAGAATTAAGTGGAAAACTACAATAAACTCCTAGATTATTTAATTAAATTGAGTATTAAGAGTGAAATTAAGTTGCTAGCTGCAGGCATGCTTGATTTAATAAACCTTATAATGTAGTCTCCTGATACATTGCTTTTATCAGCTTTAATGCTTACATATTTCATTTTAAAGCACATTAGGATTTTTTCAGTAGTATAAATGTATACATTTTTTGTGTAATATTTTCATTAAAAAGGCTAGAAATATTTCAACAAGTATGGTGGGTTTGAAGAGTTTGAAAAATGTGAATAGGAACTAATGCAGATAATTCATGAAAAAGTAGAGTTATTCAGAGCAAAGCTTAGAGGACTAAACAATGTTTTAACAATTGTGTACTTGAAAAATATAAATGATTATTTTTTGTTCCAGTTCAAAACCCATTTATACTAAAATGTTTTACTAGTTCTATTAGTTAAATCTTTTAAAACTTCAAAACTAATTTTTCATTGTTTAATATGTTAGTGTGATCCCATCTAAACTAGTAAACTACTGTAAAATATATTTGTATGTTTATAGTAAAGCCATAGGAATGTACTTAGTCAATAACATGCAATGCTTGAATGTGTCACTGTATGCAGCAAGAAACAGATAATGTATTATTTAAGAGAGATTGAATCAAGACCAATTTGGTCTATGTATATAACAATTAAGTGGGTTCATAAGAAATGTAAATTTTTTTAATCAGCCATGAATAGGCATCTTAGTTAGAAATAATTTAGAAAACAACCTGTGAATGTAATACACTGATTCTAATTTTATAGTAACATAATATTTAGTTGAAATGTACTTATGTGCTTATATTATTGACCAACTATCAAGTGTTAAATCTTTTGTAACTTATTAGGGATTTTTTGGGCTACTGCTAGTGGAAGGTGTTACAGTACCCAGTGTCTGTAGAGTTACAGAATTCAATAATGGAGTGGTAAGCATCAAAAAGGTATGATACATACAAGTTTTCCTGTTTGTACTGTTAAAAATATGATAAGAGAGGAAAAAAATTCACATGTTTGAAATTACCTTGTGTTAGTCATTTAAATATTAGATTTATTTTTATGTGTACTTGAAAATGACAGCTGGTCTGCTGAAAGCTCGGGGTTTTAATTGTAGGTTCTAGTAGGATGTTTTAGTTTTTGGTTTGCTTGTTGTTGTTTTAATCATTAGGTTGCTCATGGTTTGTGATTTAATTATTTTAAAAAAATGTTGATGTAGTTTGTTTATCGTTTATGGTGTATTTGTTTTAAAAATTTGTTTCTGATTTGGTGTAGGTTGAGATGTACTTTGGTAGGGAAAATCATTAGGTAAAAATACTTAATTAACTTTATTATTTTGCATTCTAATTAGATCAGTTTTTTTTTAGTGGACCGGGAATGTACCATTTGGCGATTCTGCTTTACACTCAAAATTATAACTAATTGAAACTTACTTGGGATAGGGATTGCTTTGTTACTTTAGAAGTTTAGTGGTTTTCACATTTTGAAGATATGACTAAAGCTGGAGAGATGTTGTTCAAATGTCACCTTAACATTCATGTGATTAAGGTTTTTTTGTTATTATTATTGAGGTTATTCTTTTAAATTAGTTATAAAATACTTAAGGATGTCATAAATTGTTAATCTTGGTATATGTGTAAAAGCATTTTGTTAATAGGCAACTTGGATAAGGGTAACTTTAGTTAATATAGAATGTTTTTTATTTGGCTAGTACTCAGATTTATATCACATTTAAGATTTCTGGAAAACAAATCTACTATTCAAATTATACAGAAAAGGTATAATAAAGAAGTATTAAAAAAAGTAAAGAAAACTTGAAAAAAATTATATTAAATTAAATAAAAATAAATGAAGTTGTAACTTTTTGAATAAATGTAAGGTTTATGGATTAATACCAAAATTTTAAAACTGCTACTTTTAGGTTTAAAGAATTAAAACAATATAAAGAAACTCAGAAGAGATTTTTAGAAAGTGAAATTAAATATAAGGAGAAGACATTAAAAAAGCTTGAAAAAAATAATTGAAGATAAATTACAAGTTAAAAAGGTAATTAGTAGCATTGACTTCTTTTGTTTGAATAATAAGATTAAAAGAAATAACAATACTAAACTGATAAAAATAAGATTAGCACAGAATAACAAAATTTTTAAACTTGAAGAACAACCAAATTCGTAAATCTTTTTTGGGTAATCCTGATGATTTGATAATAAATTTATCAAATTATTGTTCAAATTATATTGAAAACAAAGTATTATCTAGAGGATTAGGATTTGCAATCACTCCTAAGAAATTGGAATTTCTTGATTATTTATTAGGATATGAACTCTTATTGAAGGATCTTAAGTGTTGTAAGGTTAATTCATCTGCTGAAATTAATTTTGATAATGTGTGTACACATATTACTAGTATAGGTTTAAATGGTTTACAAAGTTACAATTTGAATTCTAAACCATGGAATGGTTAGAAAATCAAGCCTTGATAAAGTTAAGTAAGCACAAAGAGATAGTGATTACGAAGCCTGATAAAGGTGACAAAGTAGTCATTATAGATAAGGAAGACTATAACAACAAGGTTGATGAAATTATTATGGACAAAAATAAATTAAAAATATTTTCTTACACAAAGCTATCTCCAACATCTTTTGCCCTCTAAGCATTGCTAAAACATGTTTTCATGATCAGCACACCAGTCTTTATACCCCATCAATTTCTTGCCATTTCATATACATATCATGTGACTACTCTCCACAGTAGTATTGCACCACCTCTGTTGGAGCAACTAACTCAGTCTACTATTCCCACTCAATCTTCACTTTCTTGATCAGGACTGCGTTGTTTATACGTGTTTTTCTCTATGTGGCTACGTTTTATGAATGTGCTTCTTTGCCATTTAAATTTTTTCAAGAATTTCATTTTACTGTGTTTACATTCACTTGTTTCAACTATTCTTTTTTTTTTGCATTTATTTTTTGCTATCGAATTACAAGAGATTGTTGTATGAATTTGTGAATAAATGTTTCGAATTCCTAGAAATCAGGTTCAACTTTATCTTCAGAGGTGGTACAGACCTTAGTTTGCAGGGAGCTAGATTCATATGTGGCAATGTTTCTGAGGAAGAATACAATCAATGAGAAGACAATTTGACTCTCTTTTTTCTGGCACCTTCCACCAGATACTATGCTGCCATGCCATTCACTTTGGTGGAGACTTGTTCTTCTCCTCTTTACTTACTATTGCTTCCAGTTTTCCAGGGAATCTTTGGTAAGTTGTTCAACATGTACAGTTCACACCGCATTGATATACCCATGATAGTCCTGGTTCAGATGCCCTTTGTGTGGCTCTGCCCTAATTTGCACATGGAAGAATTACATATTTCACGTCATAAGTGCTTGAACTTTGGTAAGTTTGATATTTATATGTCCTTTGTCATCTGTGTTTCTTTGATGTATTGTAAGTTAGATATTGATTATTATTTTGGTAAATTTAATCGTTTTGTACGTTCGTTAATATTATGTACTTTGTAGACTATGTAAATGTTGTGGGTTTGTTAGTTTGTTATTAATGTGTAATTTAACTAGATATGTTTAGATTGTGTGTAATTTACATACCATAACAACAAGTAACATCGAATTTGTTGTTATATTTAAGTATTCTCTTTTTGTCATTGTTACTTATGTGCTTTATCAACCCAATTTTCATTAGTGTAGGACTTCATTAAGCATCCTTTGTTGCGTGGGTTAACTCAGAGGAATTGTAAATTAGATATTGATTTTTAATGTGTTTTCTATGTAATTTTCATCAGTTTGCACATTTGTTATTATATACTTTGTGGACTAGGTACATTTAGATGGTTTGTCCATTTGATATTTATAAGTACTTTGTTATCTAGTTATGGTTTGATAGTTTGTACCTTACATATCATTGCAACTACTACTGCTAATGATAATTCATTGTTCTTTGTGAATAATTTTTTTTGTCATTGTTAACTATGTACCTTATCATCATCATTTTCATCAGTGTGGGAATTAGTTATGTGTCTTATGTCGTCTAGGTTAATTTAGATAACTGTTAAGTTAGATATTGATTATTTATGTGCTTTCTAGGTAATTTTAGTCAGTTTGCACTCTCATTATTCTTACATACTTTGTGTACTAGATAAATTTAGATGGTTTGTCCATTTGATTTTTAGCAGTACTTTGTTAATTAGGTATGTTTCGATAGTTTATACATTATGTATTATTACTGCTAGTAATATATAATTCATTGTTCTATCTGAAGTTTTCATAATTGTTAACTATGTGTCTTATCCTAATTTTCGTCAGTTTGTGCTTGAATAGTTACATCATTTACATGTTCTTTTCTTTCCTGTTCATAGGGCTGGGCTTTGCTTTGGCTCCTTTTACTAAGTTTCTCCACGTATTCTACAATTCACGGTTTTATCTATAGTTATTTCTTACTCTCAGTTGAGTTTTTGAGTTCAGGACCTTACCTGTCAGGCTAACCTCAGCTCTTTCAGTATTTTGTTGGGGTAAAAACTCTTGCTCAACATCTTCACTCTTGCGTCTTTGCACTCTTCCTTCTATGGTTGACTGGCTTCTGCTTGCTTCCTCCATTCACAGTCAAAAGACCACACTACTCTGCTCCTACAGGATACAGCATGGGTGGGATTCCTGATGACAGTGGGGAATTCCATTATTAGCCCCTCTCAATACCCCATTAATTTAGGAGGTTTCTTCTTTTCAACCTCAGTTTCCTCTTTGTTTTCGGGTTTGGAGCAAGCAGTTCCCACATCCTTCACCTTTTCTTACCACTAAATATGTTTTATCTCTTTGGTGATATGGGCTTCCTTGGAAACTCTCATTCCCATGGGTTGGGCTCTTATGAGTTCCCTTTGGTGGACACTCCTTGATCAGTGGAACTTCTCCTCAGAACTCTGGCTTGGTGGTTAGACAGAGACTAGTTACAGCAGGGGTATTGCTTACTCCGCTTCATCCAGATTACATCTGTTCGTGAGCTTATCTTTAGAGGTTTGGGGCTCTTACCTCGACTCCTGAGAGATTTCTGGCCCCTGGTCAATCAAGGAGTCTTCTTTCCATATCAACTTTATCGAGCCTTTGGCAGTTTGTTGAGCTTTGTCCCACTTCCTTCCTCTCCTACAGAGGTAGGGGTTATGGTACATTCTGACATCTCCACAGTGGTCACTTATATCATTGAGCCAGGTAGTACCTATTCCAGGTCTCTGTATCTTCCTCTAGTGTATATTATCTCCCTTCTGTGGCGATTCAAAGTTCACCTTGGACTGGGATAAGTCTTTTCACTTAATTTCATTTATGTTTTTATTTCAAAAACCTTAGTTTTAACCACTGATGATGAGAACCCACTCTGTGGTGGGTGTTGCCTGGTTAAGTATGCTTTGCATCAAACCCGCTCTATTTACTGATGTGTGATATCACTCATTGTAGAGATAGGGTGTTTCCACAAGGCCACTGGTGGCATACCCAGTGGTACATACATATATATATATGCTAGATATCAATGGCTGACTGTCACTCATGTATTGCATGAGTAAAGCAGAAGGGGATTTCTGCCCATTTGTGTTGACCCTTTGATTGAATAACTTGGAGTCAGCCTGCTTTTCAATTTAGGAAATCGTGGACACCCATTACACTGCCTCAGGTGTAACATTCCTCAGAACTCCCCAACATGTTTACTCCTCCCCCCTTTTTTTTATTCCAGCGGAGTATGGGAGTCCTTACCACTTCCCACATCCTGACCATGGAGGCTTCCTCTTGAGTGAGTTTAAAAATTTACTTTACAATTCATACTTATGATTATCCACTCAGTGGCAAGTGGGCAAAACTGGTTTCCCTCCTTCCATTTCCCCTGGATTCTTTTTCCCAGGTGGACAGCAATAGACAGAAAAATAAAATAGGAGGTGGGAGCAGGCCCAGTCTACGTGGGATCATCCTCGTAATACCGGATTTGGGATGACACCACCCTGTTGTTACAGATGTGTGCAGTAGAGGCCCCTCTTCTCATTAATTCTGGTTGCAGGAGTTTTCTTTACCTGGTTCTACCGTTGAGTTTTGGGAACTTTGTCTGCCTTGTAATGCTGGCTACAGGACATACGTACACTGTTCCTATGGTTAAGCGTATGTTCCATGTCTTTCTCATAATTCCGTATGCTGGATGTCTCTTCTCTGCTGTAGAATGAGTTATGATTTCTGTTTGTAATACTGGTTACAAATATTACCCTGTTCTTACAGTAGAGTTGAGGCAATGTCACAACCCTATAATGCCAGGTGCAATTTGTTTTACTTCTAGCTCCTACAGTTGTTTTGGAGGTTTGTCCGGTTTCAAGTGAAAGCTAACTTCCTTTTCATAATTCCAGTTGCTTGACATATGACACTCTGTTTAACTGCAGTTGATGAGTCTATATGACATGGTCCACATGCACTATGTTTATGCTACATAATGTTACAATATATATATATATATATATTGTTGATCCACAACATCCTAATTCTGAGGACAAATTATGAACTTTGTCTATCTGGTTGAGGATGCATATCTACATAGCTATTTCTGATTGTATTTTACTATGCATTACATCTGTCAGAACTAATCACACTTGTGCACATTCTCCTAATTCCAAGGTTGAGTTATGGAAACTCGTCTGTTTGGTTGGGGTTGTGTATGCATATAGCTAATTATGTTTATATTTTCATATGGATTGCACTTCTCAGACCTAATTGCAGTTGTGCACATCCTCCTAATGCTGGGGACGGATTATGAAACCTCGTCTATTCAGTTGAAGTTGTACATGTATCTACTGTATCAGATTCATTTCCTATTTCCAGGGCAAAGAGCATACCTGTAACAGAAGTAGTGCGGTGTCCTATGTGTGTGTGCTTAGTTCATCTCTGAGCACATCTGATCATTCTGGGTGGTCGATTTCTACTTGGTGCCTTTGTTGTGTACCTAAAATGACCCTTCCATCTTGGCAATGTGGGATTCTAGCTTTGTGTGAGAAGAGGTTGAACTGTATTGGAAGTTAACATTTTTCTTACATTGAAAATGTATTTTTGATAGGTACTTACCTCAACTCACACACTTCCCACCCTTCCTCCCCATGGCTATTGTTGTTATTTTAGAACATGAAAATTCTCGAAAGTGAGGATTGAGCAGGAATAGTAGAGGGAGCTAGCTGCACAAATATAGGTGGTGCAATACTATTGGTGGATATTTACATGTTCAGAAATGGCACAGAGTTGATGAGGTATAAAAGCTGGTGAGCTGATTGCAAAAATGTTTTAAGCAATGCTTAGAGGGCAGAAAAGGATGAAGATAGCTTTGTGTGAAAGGAGGTAAGTACATATTGGAAATATATTTTCAGTGTAAGAAAAATGTTAACTTTTGTTTCTTTCCTTAAATTATCTCAGTTCTTTAAAGCTGGTGTAAACACCATTCTTATTCTGTACATAAATATCATATTTTTAGATTTACGGATCATTGAGTAATTCAGAAGAACATGCTGTGGCAACTAGTTTTATTTTCAGAGTTCATGGTGAGTTTTTTTAGTAATTTGTGTGAAACATTTTACATAATAAAGTTGAATTTGATATAAAGTTTTATTTTGTAAGTTATGCAAATGTTTGTATTTCTCTGTAGCTTCTACACTGAATACAAGCATTTGTTAGAACTTTATCTGGAGAGTAACTAAAGTTCAGTTAGCCATATGAATTATAAACTTTTTTTGTTACTGTCAGAATATGGGATTTTTCCATAAAGATTTTTTTTCATGATTTTTAACTAGCTTTTAAAAGTTAGGGTTGTTAACAATTTAAAATTACTTTTGAAAGATATCCCTAACTGTTTATCAAAAGATTACTTGAACAGTACCATTTATTGAATATAACTGACCCACAGTAATATTTTAAGTAACAGCAACATGCATGATAAAGCATATCAATGCTAATTATATTAAAAGACAAATGTTTTAAGTCTTTTGTTGCTATAAAATATGCCTACTTGTTTATAACGACTACACATTTTGACAAGTTTTACACAGGACTATCATTTCCCCTACTCAACACACATGTACTGTAATCAAATTTCTGCTCCCAAAAACCACATTTACACAGACCAAAGACACAAATGTTCATTGGGGTGCACAGGGGAATTAACAACTATGTGGTCTAATTGGAGTGCTGTGATTCCAGTTTCTTCAGCCATCTTTCCCGTAAAACCAGCTTTTGAAGTGAAGAATATGATTTCAAGATGGAAACATACTGGCCTTCATAAACTTCAGATCCTTGTTTATTATTTTTCTAATGGTACTGGGAAATATTCCCATCTTCATTACAGTGACTTTTTTGAGTCAAGTAATTCCATTTCATGACCAAAGGTTTCCACTTTGTGGATGAAAGAATTGCTCTGAATTAGGTAAGGATGTGGTTTTGGAACCTGTTGATGTCTTAAATACTAAGCTTTGTAGGGTTTTTTTCATTTCCCTTCTTTGAAATGCTCTTTGGCTTTACACCACTTAAAATTATGCCATACCTTTATTTTTTCTTGGAAAGGCCTATCATGTATCTTCTTCCAGCCTCAAGTTTATCTATAGAAGTATTACCCTGTTAAATAGTGGAGTATCAGTATGAATCAAATATATAGAAACTAAACATGTCTCTTGTGGTTCCATGGCTCACATCTGTCAAATGGTGGGGACTCAGTATGAACCAAATATATAGGTATGTCTCCCAGTGTATCAATACTAAACGTGTCTCCTCTGGCTCACATCTGTAGTGATTTGTATGTTTGTATAAAATACAATTAACCCTTTATTATTAAAAATCTGACTCAATTTGCTCTGATTTATGTGTTTTTTTTTAGAGCTAATATTTATGGAAACAATAATGGTACTTATTTGCTTATATCTACAAGTTGCTGTAAAAAGTTCCAAGCTTTCAATTTTTCTTGTACTTACAAGTTTGAGAGCTATATAAAATAAAAGCAACATTGTAAGTTAAAAAAATTCTAGAAATGTTTCGATAAATAATATTCCAAAGAGTTTTAAATACAATTTTTATATGTGCAAGTTTATTATAAATTATATATTTTAACATTCTTTAGAAAACAACATTAACAAAACAATCTATGCTTATATCATCATTTACTGTATACAATGATTACTTTGTTAAAGATATTGCAGAGTTAGAGAAGCATGTCAGTGAACAAAACAGCAGGTCAGAAGAATGGATAAAAATAATAAACAACACAAAAATGAAGTTGAATGAAGAAGTAGAGAAGTCGGATGACATGATATTAATAGATACAGTTGATGTGTATAGAAACCTTCCTCAAAAAGTTGTCAAGTTCTTTCAATGGTAGGTTACCATTCTTCAAGGATTATACAAACATACATACATACGCAGTAAAATTAAAAGATGAATGTTCTTGTTGATACACTGTAGTACAGTTAATATTCATTTAGAAACTTGATTCAATTTGTGACGATATAAAGCTAGTCTTTGGCTTGAAAACTTGACTTTGTATTTTTCAGATTATGTAATGTAAAAACCTGAATCATTTAGACATTTGAGTTTGAGGCAGCTTTTACAAATCAAGTAATATGTGTGTTTACTTCCCTCAGTTTAACTCGATTTTAATAAACATTCAACACAATTGCTTTTTAATTAAACTTCTTAGATATTTTTTATCTTTTAAACAGGTAAGTGAAACTTACCTTTGAATCCCATTCTTTTTTTTTTTTTAAAAACAAGAGATTTGCTTGCAAGCAGCTAATAACTACAACAGTTAATAACTGGATCAAACTCCAGTGATATACATACAAAGAACTAGTAAGAAGAAACATTAATATTTATTTGTTTTATTTTACTTTATCTCACCATTTTTACGTGAATGAATAATTACTGTACAAGTGTGCTTATGATGTGTACTGAGCATTCATGCTTTATATCTGCGATTATATAAAAATTGTATTAGAAAAGGAAACATTGTAGAGTAGAAACAGTTTTATTTTGACAGAAACTTTGTGCACTGTGACAGTACCATAAAATGTGTGAGGTAAATGTTGTCTTTTACTTCAATATTCCCACAAAGTTTAAATATTAATATTTTGCTATAGCAGGCTTTTATATCTGACGTCATTCTTTTGTATTATTTAAAAGGTTTCTACAAAGTTGTGAGATATTTCAGATTGAAATTTTTTCTCTTTGAAAATTCATTTGAAAACATGGTAACAAGACTTGTTGCTAAGTGCATAAAAAAAACTTTAAAAAGAAACTACTGAAGAAGATATGCTATAAACAAGATGTTTTTTGTATCATTCAAAATCTAAGAGAAATCTAAACATAGTAGAAAAGGGACAAATGTAATTAAAGTATATGTTTTTAAACTGAAATTGTTAAACATCCTAAATATGAAAAATACTTTTAAATTATCATAATGACCAGTAGATTTTTGTAATTTTGTAAAGTTGTTGATTTTATGTATGTCTATTATTATTAATTTTTGGTTAGGCTAAACAAGACCCAAAGTTTTTCCTTTGTACTGAAAACCGATGATGATTGCATGATAGATATACATGCTGTTTTAGAAAGGTTAAACCAGGACCAAAACTTCCACAGTCCCAAAGTATGGTGGAGCAGGTACATGTGAAACAACTTTTTTCATATTAATGCTTATATAAAATATCAATATTTTAAAATTATTTTGTGAAATATTCTTAATTAACTCTCTCAGTATGGGGTTGGTCCCAGGGATCGACCACGGGACCATTTTTACTTATGTATAATTTTAATACTGTAACTTTTGATACAGTGTATGTATCTTCACAAAATTTGGCAGACTTTTAGTACACGTTACAAGTATTTTTAATAAACTAAAAAAGATATGCTCATGAATATATTGAGTATTTGTTTTGAATAGTCTGTATGCAAAGTGATTTTAATGTTAAGATAAAAAAACTATTCTTCGTCCCAAAAATCTCAAATATCATTTGTGTAATCTCTACAAATTCCTAAATACATTTCAAATGTTTGTTTTCACTAAAACTTTATATTTTGTCTGTTATTTTCTGAACCCTAACTCTATACAACATTGGTCAATTTGACCAACCTTGTAACTACCAAACAAAAATCTAAATTATCCATTTTTTTCTTACTAGAATGACTTCAAATTGTAACATGAAACTACATTCGTTTATCCTAAGTAGCTTTAAACTCGTAACAGTATACATCTATTTATAATTGAATTTTATTGTTTTACTGCCCTTTGAACTGTGTCTAACCACTATTTCTGCCATTATAAGTTGTAAATCACTTGGGAAATGTGGAGGTCACATTATGCTATTGAATTACATTACCCATGAGCTGCTTGTGTACATGCCTCATGAAATATTTTTATTATACTGTTATTATTTATTTTACCTAATCTAACCTTAACTAACCTAAAGAGATCCATATTTTTACATTTTAGTTACTTTTATAATAATAAATAAGGAATAAACATGAAATAAAGTACTCACCCGAATCTTCTTTTTTCTTGCTGTTGATTGTCAATAACACTTCACCCTACTTTTCAAAATAAATTTAATTTAATTAAATAATGCTCTAAAAAAATAGACTAATAACATGCAAAAAGTAGACAATTTCCTCTAACTCTTACAATTTTTCTGGCTTTCTAACTATGCAACAATAGTTGTTACAAATTCATCTAAGCTAGTCGTCATATTTTTCGTGGGAACAAAACTTTCATTAACAGTAAAATTGACAATTTTTCATTCAGAAAACAACGTTATACAATATGCCATTTGCTAGATGAAACCTTGGCTTTCTATTGGTTATAAATAATTTAGAATTAAATGTAAGAGAGAACTATTAACAAATCCTGAAAGTGAAGATGTGGCAGGAGGGGGTCTGATTTTCTATTCGATAGCTCTGTAACCAGTTAAAATTGAAGGTTATAAAAATTTTGGTATGTCTGAAGAATAATGATTTTATAGAGAGTAATTTACATTTAATTTTGTACTTTTTTGAGGGGTGGTGGATAAAATAGGGATGATGACATGCTAAGAGAAAATGTGTCACGTGGGTCACACTAGTGGAAATTCAGGATTTTCTAAAATATTTCCTTGTCTATTTAAGAACTTAATACTTGTATACTATTAAAATTTGGATTATTAGCTGAGATTTTATGCTATTCTAATTGGTATAACATAAACAAAAAGTAGTTTAATAAAATTTTGAATATAAGTCACTAAAACACTGTGACATGCACAGTAAAGTATGCCTGTTGTGATAGGGTTGAAAAACCTGATTTTTTTTTCTAAAAAACACTTGTAATGTTTACTAAAAACTTGCCAAATCTTATGAAGATAAACTTACTACATTAAAATTTATAGCATGTATACTTGCATGTTATCTCGTAGTTCCAAGGTCAGTTAAAGTGACCAACTGCTTACAGATAGAATTCATGTAAATTTTAATACTGCATTAACCCAGTCTATCATTTGATTCACTAATTGTCACCGAGTTCTATCAGTTTTGGAGAAATTCACCTCTCTTCAATAACCTTGGACAAGTTCAAGTCGAAAGAACAAGACTAGACTTCTTATATTGGTAGAATGTGTCTGCTAAGTAATTCAGAAGAATAAGTTAGCCTGTATCAGTGCTACATATTCTTCAACTTGTATATCAATATAGGTTCACTGTGATGAGTAAAACACAAGTTAAAACACCACACATGCAGTATACACTCTACCACTGTAAGAAGCCTAACTTTGTTCTTTCACTTTGCCCTTGCCCAAGATTACTTATGAGAACTGGAACTCCTAGAAACTGGCATAACTCAGTGACAAGTAATGAATAAAAGGATAGATTGGGCTTCATATTTAGTTTCAGTATTTTAAAACAATTTGTTTTCTGAATAATTCAGAAGAAAAACTAATAACATGATGTTTCATATTCTACAAATTCTGCATAAATATAGGTGTACTGTGCTGAGGAAAAGACAATTTCAAACATCATAAATATAATCTCTTACTCTTTTGTGACTATAACCTCAGGTTTCGCAGCGAGTACCCAGTTGAATTGTATGGAAAGTGGGGTGAATGGGATTACACCTCTCCTGTGTATCCAGTCTTTGCTTGTGGAGCAGGCAGTGTTTTGTCCAGAGATTTGGTGTCATGGATTACACAGAATACTGAAACTTTATACAACTATCAGGTTTGTTGTGTATTTAAATTTTGTAGGTGGTTAATGATATTTTATCATAAACTGCATCTGAATATTTTTTTTTATGTACTTGTAGAAGCTAGGAGAAAAATGACATTGACAATTTTCTTTCTACAAGGAATGATAACTGATTAAATCATTCAAATGTCTTTGATTCAATTTTACATAAAAGTAATTTTTTCATTGTTAAAAATTATTTTAATTGTTTAACTTTTGTTTCACCTATCCTGTTATTTTACACTGTATTCAACGATATGTGATACTCTGTATGTGATGGGAAAATATATGAGGTAAATACTTTGATCTTCGTAAAGATAACTAATAACATGCATTTACATGAACTGAAATAACTTTATTTAACACAAAATATGTATCAAGTTTCTTTGTGTTAGGTATGAGGTATATATGAGGTAAATACTTTGATCTTCATAAAGATAAAAAATAACATGCATTTACATGAACTGAAATAACTTTACTTAGCACAAAATATGTATCAAGTTTCTTTGTGTTTTATAGAAGATAAGTAATACTTATTCTGTTTTTAATACAACAAATATGCTGCATTATTAAAAGTACTGGAACAGTACATCTTAAAAGGAGAAAGTTGTGTGTTGCTACTGAAGCCTCATTTTAAATGAAAGTGGGCCCACCTTTTGCACTAATCACAGCTTGGTCTTTGTTAGTAACACTTGATGCTTAATCAGGCAGAATAGACTGCCACTCCTTTTAACCCTTTCTATGTGGGGGATCCTTTACTGCTCATGTCACAAGGTTTTTAGTGGATTACATTCAAAATTTAATTAAACTACTTTTTGTTCATGTTATACCATACAGTATAAAATCATAACTAATAATCCATATTTTAGTAGTATATAAGTTTTAAGTTCTTAATTTTATAAGGCAATATTTAAAAAAAATCCCGAATTTCCTCTAGTGTGAGAAATGTGACATTTGTTCTCTAGGCATCCCCTCTTCTCTAATTTATTCACCACCTCTCCAATAAGTATACAATTCAACATCAGTTATTCAATATAATATTGTCATCGCTCAGGCAAAGCATAATTTTTATAGTCTTCAATCTTCTTTGGTTACAGAGCCATCAAATAGAAAATCGAACCCCTCTTGCCACACCCACCTGTAACATCATCTCCTTTTAGGATTTGTCAGTAGTTCTCTTTTACAATTAATACTATATTATTTATAACCAATAGAAAGCTAAGGTTTTAATCTATCAAATGCCATATCATATTATGTTGTTTACCAATTTCTTTTTCAGTAAAAGCTTTGTTCTCATAGATAACACATTGTCTAGCTTGAAAATTTATAATGGCTCTTGTTGTATAGTTAAAAAGCGAGAAAAATTGTGATAGTTGTGGGACATTTTCTGCTTGTTGCATGTTATTATTCTATTCTTTGGTGTATTATTTAATTGAATAAAAAT